GTTATAAAATAAATAAATAAATAAATAATATTTTAAAATAAATATATTATCAAAAATCGAAAGAATGAATAAAATAATAAATTACTGTTCATTTGGTGTAAATTTTGGTGTAATGGTTGGAGAAGAATTTTGGTTTGGTGCAAGATTTAGTGTAAAATTTGGTGCAAAATGGTGCAAAATTTGGTGCAGGATTGGAGATAGCCTTAGTTGTACCAATCAAACCTCACATCTCATTGCAATCAATATTCCCAAGCAGGGCCAGTGACAAGGACTTTTTACAGGTGGTATCAACGCAACATCTTTATAAGTGTTTTTTTAATTATCTTATGAAATGCTGCCACGTGTCCTCCTGTATTTTAACTCTATCACTGACCTCGTCTTTGTAGCATGGTTGTATATAGTAATCCTCATGTAAAGATACACGTAATCATTGAGACATACAAGAATGTCTATCTTGATCGGAACTTCTTAATCATTGGGATCTCTAAACACTTTCGCACCATTTTTTTTTTCTTCCCATGGCTGACACCAATGTCATCCTCACACCAATCCAAGTTATCTGTGATCTCACTTCACCCTATTCTTGATTGACGCTGACATCTCCAAAGCTTCTAATCGGCAATAGTTACCCTACATGGCGTCGCTTCATATTAATGGCTCTCAACGTAAAAAACTAGTTTTCATCAATGGATCCCTCAAAGAACCAACAAATGCTTCAATTGATATATTATAGGAGAGGTGATGCAAAATGATTCTCACTTTGCTGCTCAATTCAACTGACAAATCTTTCCTACAAAGCTTGGTCTACTACAAAAATACCTTCATGTATGGACTGACATTAAACCACGATTCTCTCAGAGCAACACCGCAAACCAATATCGCCTCAAGCGCGATCTCATCAATTTTCGTCAAGAATCAATTATTGTTAGATCCTACTACAACACCATCATTAAGGAGTCTTTAGGATGAATTACATGCTCTCACCGAACCCAGCTCTTACACATGTACTGCTCGCAAAATGACAAAGAAAAAGAAGCAATTGAACAAATTTTTCAACACCAAAAGTCATGTTTTAGCCTTGAATCCTCTGTCCACAGTCACAAAAGCCTACGCCACCGTCCATATAGATGAGACCTAACGACATCTTCATCTTTAGTTGTTGCCTATACTAGAAATTTATGCCATGGCTAGAGCTCGACCTTTTTTTTACCAAATTTTTAAAATCGAGCAAAAAATGGCAAGAAGTTATGGGGAAGGTCACCTTAAGAGAAGTATGATTCGAAATTATTATGTACCTTGCCCATTGGAATACCTTCAAGCTGAAGCAAAAGAAGGTCACTCTACCGCAACATACAATATTGCAATCATGTCACGATCAACTTCTCCTTCTCCTTCTGCCACAAGTACAATCCCTGGCCTCTCTGACAAGCAATATTGGCACATAATGGATCTCCTTTGACCTTCTCACTCGAGTGGCTTCTCTAGTGGCTATTGTTCAATCTCTCTTGCAACTAACATATTGTTTCAGCTATGGGTCATTGACACGGGGCCTTCAACCCTTGTGTTGCCACACACAACACATATTATCCCTCACTCACAAATCGTCACTTTACTAACGAGAGCCACGATTAAAGTCACTCATGTGGACTGTCTTAATATCATAATTACTTTAGCTCGGTCATTTATTATTTTTTCCTGATTTTCAATATAATCTTATTTCTGTTTGTCAACTGACAAAAAAAAAAAAAAATCATCTTGCATTGCCAATTTTACTTCTCTCTGTTTTTTAAAAAACCGCACAAGAGGAAGCTATTTGGGATAAGTGAGGAACACAGATGACTCTGTCATCCCAAAATCCAATTTCATATTGCTCTTTGCACTGAATCTTCCATCAACCCCGTTTGCACATTTAGGACACCCTTTCATATCTTGTACCCTCAAAGGCATATTTGATTTGAATAAAGATACTCATTGTGATGTTTGTATCCGTGACAAAAATACTGTCTACTTTTGTAAATTGGTTAAGAACAAAAGTGCAGCTATTTGTGGTAGTTTGGCCCATCTTATATGTTAATGTGATTGGATGGGTAAATTATAGCAAAAGTCCTCTGCCTTTGAGGTATTTATACTCGTCCTCCACTTTTGTTATTTAAGAAACCATGTCCTAAACCTTTCAAAAATTTGTGGTGTTTGTATGGATAAATTCAGTCCATTTCGGAAAAAAAAAAGGGAAAAAAATGTCAATCTAGCATTAAACAACACATGGAACATGTCACAACTACCGTACACTTAAAAGTGGATGGCACCAAATTCACGTGCCTATGTCAAGTACCAAAAGCATGACATACACATTGAGTCCCATACTGTAGCACTTTTTCTAGAATTGAGGTCAAATTTTGTTTTAAATGCCATATAGATGCTTTCTTTAGATTTTTCATATAGAAAATAATGTGTTATTTTCAATAAATTTGAAATTGATAAGAATAATTCTTTTTTCGTCAGAACTATTATCCACTTTTCCATTGAGGCCATGTTTGATTGGGGTGAATTTCGTGGATGTTTTCCATTTTCCAACTATTTTGGTGTTTGATTGCTTTTTTTCTATGGAATTCATTTTCCTTGTTTTCTCGCACATTTGCCATTTCCTTATTTTGGTGAAAAATTAATTCTCACCAAAACGTTGAAAATTGGTTTTCTGCCATTTTTTTTTATTTGCAATGAAAATAAATTCTAGAAACAATTATATAAGAGGATATCCCTTAAATTGACAATTTTCATGTAAACAAAGACAAACGAACACCGAAATATAGATGATTTTATGGATCTTTTTTTGGCAATGGAAACAAATTCTAAGAACAATTGTAGAAGTGAATATCCCTTAAATTGATAATTTTCATAAAAAATAAAGTCAAACGAATATCAAAAGACACTTTTATTTTAACAATTTTCAGGTGGAAAATTATACCTATCAAACACTATTAATTGATAATTCCCACTAAAACAAATTTTAGGCAATTCAATTCCCTTCAAATAATTTTCTTTCCATCAAATTTTATCTTTACAATCAAACGGACACTGAATTCAAAATTGAATTCACATCACATGGCAAGAAAATGCTCTATGTCAGTACATAATTTTTTTATTTTTACAGACAACACAAGGTGCAATATTATTGGAAAATGAGAAAAAAAGAAAAGAAAAACAATCTACTTACATTTTGTCATGTCAGCATTAGTACAAGTTCTATTAATTTTGTATTTATGACTTTATTGAACTAAAATATATCAAAAAAAAAAAAAGCCAAAGGCAATTGTAGCACGCGTGGTGTGTACCTCAGCATCAGTACAAGTTCTATTAATTTTTCTGTATTTATGACTTTATTGAAAAAAAAAAAAAAAAAAAAACCCAAGTAATTGTAGCACACGTAGCGTGTGCCTATACCTACCAATTGCGTAATGGTTTTGCCATTGAAACAATATTTATTTATAGCCTAACCTACCAAATTGTTAGGAAATTTCGCAGCAAACATAACCTAAATCGAAAATTGTGCGACGATGGCCTATTATTCAAATATTTGAACAATGAGTGTTCAATTGAAATAATGAGGGCATGTACGTATCTTACAACCACAAAGCAAATATAATTATACTAGTCGTTGGCCCATGCAATGCATGGGATATGTTATTCTTCAGGTAATATTAACGTGTCGAGTTTGAAGGGTTGACGGGAGATAATGAGATTAACAAAATAAACTCAATTTGACAAGGTAAATTTTCATATGATTTTAAGAATAAAACACAGTTTCGAAACATCTCAAAAGCATAAAGATATGAAGAAAATATTTTCTTTAACACCATTAATAGAAACAGAATAGAACCATCTACTATCCTGAAATTCTGAGTGCCTGTTAACCTGTTACATTAAAAAATGAAATTAGCTGTAGCGAAAAAACTAAACATTTATGCAACATAGTCATAATTTTACACTCAAGAAATTATCATTGTTAAGGCGCCACAATTGCACAGCATCCACTTATAGTAGATAAAGGGAGACTGACTAACTAATCACATATTTCTAGACTTTTCTAAGTCATGGGACCAACATCAATTTCCAACAAAGGCATGCCAGATTATTTAGATGCATTGATTGCATTCCATGTATATAGTTAACGCTTCCAACTTGAGACGATTGAACTTAGGCTCGTATTTGCCGCAATTCCCACTCCACCTTAATTACTTATTTGGTATCATTTCCAGAAACAATAAGGAATGGAATTCTGATCAACCCAAATTCTGTAATTCCGTAATTTCATCAAAGATTTTCCATGGTCACAGTTACCAAGCAAAGAAAATTGATATTAGAAGACTGTTATCATACTGAATTGCTACAAGTTGAGTCGAAGAAGTGGTGCTCAACACATTGGTAAAGAAGCCAAATGCAAAATTTTGGTAGAAATTAGAATAAAATCACCAATAGAAGAGAAAAAAGCGCACCTTCCTTTTTAAGCAAAGCAAATCTGGATCCCAAGGGATGAATTATTTGAAAAGAAAGAAGATGCATGCATCCACACAATTTATACATATATCAAACAAAATTCAACTTTCAAATAGTATATAATATAGGTAGAGTGATTAGGGCAACGAAAGCACGCAACAACGTTGTACAAGAGAGGAAGCGTACAAGGAGACAGACAGGAAAGCGAATACTAATGCATATCATACAAAGCTTGATCAAAGCAACAACAAAATAGTTAATTAACTCTAATTATAAATGCATCAAATCACATGACCCTGACATCCAATTCAACTGAGATCCCGAGACAGTAAAAGAAAAAGAAAAAGAAAGAAAGAAAAAAAAAAGAAAAAATATCCATAGAAAAAAAAATTTTATAGGAAAATTATCGTCGAGAAATCAATCTTAGGTTAATAGGTCATTTTTCAACCAAATCAAAGTATGTTAAACAGGGTTCCAGATATAAATGGCTTGATATAAATTTGTAAGAAGAAAAAAAGCTTAATATGAGTTGGTCGATGTTCCTGTAGCTTGCGTTTGAATGACAGGTAAAGCACTTGCTCCTATATATATTTTATCGTTAGTAGCTCTTTATAAGAGAAGGAATGTAAATAAAAGCATCTTGTATAACAATATATAACATTTTCAACAAGGCAAAAAAATTAAGAGGGTCAAACATTCCCATTGAAGAACTCACAGGAAAATTTGTAGTTGCAGAAGATCCCCAGTATTTCAATGATGTTAAATCATAAGCTCTAGCAACCTTTTCTTACTGGTCATATGCTCCTAAACGATTTCACATCCTTCTCCTGTACTTAGAGGTGTAAGTCTGACAGCAAAGATCTATATCACACAATATATAAATTCACTTTTAGGATGAAAGTAAGCTAATTTTTTCTCCTAAGTCCTAACCCAAATTTGTATTTATTCCAAACCTCCCCCCTAAAACAAAAAAATAAAAAATAAATAAATAAATGAAGACCTAATTTTTTCTCTCAAATATTACATTCCCTAGTTAGTTCACTGAATAAAAATAATTACTTTACAAAACTGTAAATACTATAACAGAGGAAAAATCAACTCACATGCAACAGTAGAGTAATAAAATGAAGAGAACTACCTTACGGGTGTTGGGACATAAGAAGCTACTTGCCCCTTGCTTGGTGATCTTCCCAACACAGATGGAAACAAGAGACATGCAGAAAGACCTAGACAGCATACCCACTTCCAATAGCTGAAAGTGCTGTTTCATTATCACGTAGGTAGATGTCACTTGAGTTGATAAAAGGAAACAAAAAGGGCATTATATACACAGCCTTTTCCATATATAATTGAAGTACGTATCAATAGGAGAGGCTAAATAAAATTATTCGAACTGAAATATATCTTTCCTAGCCAACAAAGTAGAGAATTGTAACAAACCAAATATGTTTAGGGAAATATTTTATTTGCAACATAAAGTAAGAATTGAATGAAGCGTAATGAAAACTAGGTATTGGAAGCTCATTGTCCTATTTTGTTGGCTTCCTCTTTCACAATAGAAATTGCTCATTGTCAATATTGTTATTTATTAATTCAAAAGCAAATCAATAATAATTGAAACAGAAGCAAATAAGAAGCGATTCTCTATTATGTACATGAATACGCACCTCGCTCAAATATTTCCAATTCCATCGAGGCTAATTTTTTTTGTTATCCCCGTCCTCTTTATACAATCAATCCCCAATAAAAATTGGATTCTTATAGTATAATAAAATTCCTATCTATAGTGGACTTAATCAAACACCAAATATTCATATTATGCCTTTCTTTAAATAATTTGTCAATATAGTTCCTCCATCTTACCTGAGATCTCATTGCTAAGGAATAAAATTCTTCGATTTTCATCTTTTAAAACATATTAATCTTAATTTGATGCAAATTATAAAAATCTTCTAAAATCAATTTTTAAATTTACCAGATACAATGGGATACGAACAATACAAGTAAATAAAAATCACTTTTGCATGCAAATCAGGATTGGACTTAATGAACTCATTTCCGTAGGCATTCATCATAAAATCCATAGTAACAAAACAACGTCATATTTAGAATACTAAAACTACAAAGTATCCAGATGACTTTGTGGAACAAGGGGTTACATGAAATCGAAGTAAATTACTCAACTTCAACTAATATCCGATACCTGCAAATACTCAGGCATCCACAGTGGAAGAACCACAGCTACTTCTAAAAGTCTTTTTGCTTCGCTCAACCCAACCACATCATCCTATCTAACACTAGGATTGGTCTCCAAGACATCCCTTTGAACCATAGCAGCCAAGTCTCCATTGGGCCCTTTATATTGCACATTCTTCGACTTTCCCTACCTAAATTCATAAAAGAATGGACTTTGTTTCACTCCCCTTTGCATTCCAATTACTATTCCAAAATATGCTAATTCCCTGCACCATTAAGAATAAATATTTTTAAAAACTAAATACATTTTCTACCAACACGATAATATTATTACACTTTCAGCAATTAACTCTTGAATGTTGAATCTGTTCCTCATCTATGTCATTTAAAATCAAGTTTATTTTCTCCTCATTAACACCATTAACAACATGATGTAGAGACTACATAGTTTACAAAACTACTAGATAGTTTCATGAAATGCCTCATAAATTCACTAATAGGACAAGTAAACTGCAATTTTCAAAAACCATTTGTCCCATAGTTTGCTCAAGTAGGTTCAACAACGAGATTATGTGACAATATAAAGGGAATAAAAATGACTTGCGTCAAAACACAAGAAGGTTATAAATAGAAACCATAGGGGCTTACCTTGGGCGAAGCCATTTCATAAAAGTAATAGAGTGGCAAGTTGGCAAAGAAGAGCCAAGTAGCGTTACTACCAAAGCAGTATCAAGTGTGCTTTGGCATTGAATATCACAGGAGTTAATTAGTCAAAACAATAGGAACAAAAATGCATCCATGTAAAAGATATAATTTGAAAGTTATAAAATCAAGAGTAGCGCCACATACTAACAGCTCACCAAGAGTTCCAAAAGAAAAATGAAAAAGGACATTTTGACCATAGATCCCACCATTACAATCAAACTGATTGGCATGAACATAAGACATGGGTTGCCATTTCATAAAGTGATATAACAAGTATTTTGTCTCCAAGAATTAGAGGAAAAAGGCCAATACACTAATTTCCATAAGTTTGATACTAAACAAAGTCAAAGATGATATTCAGAATTAAAACTTGAAACGGAATAAAATTGGAAACCAGAATTGAATTTGATGACTAATAAATCCAAACAGCATTCCAGATTCGACTGAAATTTAACAGTAACTCCTTTAAACGTGTTAGAAGATCCCAAATACCCATATTTTGATCGTCGCATAACTTGATTCACTTAATACGCTATGAGTCTACACTAATTTCAGCTAGCAAATTATGGATCCTAATTCTCTTTTCAACTTCATATTGAATAGATCAACCATATAAAAATTCAAGATTAATCTAAATAGTGCACAAAATTGAGGTTTAACGCCTTATCAAACCAGAAATCAAAAGGAATTTTCACTTCAGGCATTGTTGCACATTTCAAGCGATCACTTGATACAACACTACACCTTAAGCTACAAATGAAATAAATAAACCAGTCAATTTCAATTACATAAATCAAAAACCTTTGCTCGATAAATATTCAATGTCACCACCTGACAAATCGAATCACAAAAAACCTCGACTGAGGAACAATGATCCCGTAGAGACACCAGAAGAGTCTAAAATTGAACCCTTGAACTTCAGTAGAGCAGATCCTCTCGTATTAGAACCCAAAACAGTGTGTTGTTGAACCTAAAAGAATACCTAAATGAAAATTAATAGCTTCAACAGCTTGTGCAAACGGAATAAAAAAACTTACCAAAGATCCTCGCTTCCCTTCAAAAAAGAAGCAATGAACGAGATCCCAAAACCAAAAAGAAAGTAGAAACTTACCTGACATAGACTTTGCTGTGTGGTTACGGCAAATGGAAATTCTAATGGAACGAAAGGGATCTACGACCTTTTCTATGAAGGAGAGGGAAGGAATAAAATTAGGGTGATCTCGACTCCGACAAACCCTCACTACACTGTAAAACCTATATCCATGTAGGAAAAGGAAAAGGGAAAGGAAGGAGGTTAAAAGGCTGAATCGTGTGGGAGAAGTGGACCATTAAAGCACTTGTTGAAGAGATATTTTGTGCATTGAAAGAAATTGGTTAGTGGACAGTAATTATCTAGTTAAAGTGTGAAAAGGAAGGCAGAAAAATGAACAGTAAAAAGCTCATTGCCTCTTTTTATCAAGTGAGATGAAAGTGAAGTGTGAAAAGGAAGGCAGAAAAATGAACAGTAAAAAGCTCATTGCCTCTTTTTATTAAGTGCATATTTAGATGCATTTAAATTTTTTAAATTAAATATTAATAAAAAATGTACTACTTGTGTTCATTTTCAAGCTCATTACGAGATATCAAACGAAGTCGAAATATTACATTCTTAATATCATTTTGAAGTACTTACGGCATAATATTGTATGTCGTTAACGGTGCGTGAAACGGCTAATCGTAGCAAATGTTACGAGACGTCAAAATATGCATTTTCAAACTATATTTCGAAATTTTCGATAATAAGTTAATTTTAAAAATTTATTGACGATTGTACGATAGTCGGATCGATAAATGTTTTACATTCTCTCGAAACTCATTTCAAAAACTATATCATAAACACATCGAATGATCTAAATGAATATCGAAAATAGTTAAACGGACATTAAACGTATGTGTTAAAAAATGCGTATAAGTCGTTTTTCTTAAAAAAAAATTAATTATTTTATTACTGTTTATTATTTTTTCGTAACAATTTTCTCAATACATCATTTTGTTCAAGAAAAATTAAGTGGTATGACGTAAATTTTTTTCTCCTTGCACGAAGTGAATATAGGTTTTTTTTTAACATTTTATTTACAATAATTTTGTTTATTAATATAATTTTAAAAATTTAAATATATAAGATATAGTTGATAGTTAATGGCGTGAGAATTAGGGAAAAGAGCATGATATGTCAGATTGAAAGCAATGGAGAAATATTGCAATAGACAATGGCGTGTGACAAAATTCCTACAGTATTTTTGAATAAAATTTTTCCTGTTGCCAAACCAATTCCCAAACCGATTAAGTTATTTAAAAGTAAAAGAAGAGATTACACTATCTAAAAGATAAAAAATTACTTATAAGTAAAAAAATCACTTCAAGTTATTTAAAATAAAAAACATATAATTGTAAAAGCTATTTATAGGTAAAAAAATATATATATATTAATTCCTCATTCTCTTATAATTGCAAAAGCTACATATATAAAAAAATGTGACCTTAAAATTTTTTTAGTATAAATATTTATATATATTTAGTTTTTAAAATTAAATATTAATAAAAAGATTAAACTATCTAGAACGTAAAAAATTACTTATAATTAATAAAATCACTTCAAGTTATTTAAAAGTAATAAAAAATTATAATTGTAAAAGTTACTTATAGGTAAAAAATATTAACTTCAACATTTTTAAGTAAATATTTAGATATATTTAATTTTTTTAAATTAAATATTAATAAAAAATGTACTACAAATAAAACTGAAAAAAAAGTGCACATTTGTGCGAGGACTCCCCGCACGCATAAAACTCCGTACACGGAGGTTTGCTAAAGTAGTTTCTTTTTTCTTTTTCTTTTTTTTTTTAAACTTATGTTATTGTGTTCATTTTCAGGCTCATTACGGGATATTAAATAAAGTCGAAATATTACATTCTTAATATCATTTTGAAGTACTCGCGGCATAGTATTGCACGTCGTTAACGGTGCGTGAAATGACTAATCGTAGCAAATGTTATGGGACGTCAAAATAGACATTTTCAAACTATATTTCAAAATTTTCGATAATAAACTAACTTTAAAAATTCATTAATGATTGTACAATAGTCGAATCGATAAATATTTTTCATTCTCTCGAAACTCATTTCAAGAACTATATCATAAACATATCGAATGATCTAAATGAATATCGAAAATAGTTAAACGGATGTTAAACGTATGCGTATAAGTCGTTTTTCTTAAAAAAAAAAATCAATTATTTTATTACTATTTATTATTTTTTCACAACAATTTTCTCAATACATCATTTTGCTCAAGAAAAATTATGTGGTATGACATAAATTTTTTTTTCCATGCACGGAGTGAATGTGGTTTTTTTTTTAACGTTTTATGTACAATAATTTTGTTTATTGATATAATTTTAAAAATTTAAATATATAAGATATGGTTGATAGTTAATAGCGTGTGAATTATGAGAAAGAATCCTACAGTATTGTTGAATAGAATTTTTTCTGTTGCCAAACCAGTTCCCAAATCGATTAAGTGTGAAAACGAGTGTGACAAAAATGAACAGTATACTCTCATTCTCTCTTTTATGTTAGTGTAGATGTAGAGTTAATTGTTTTAAAATATAGCCTAAACGGAAGTGAAGGCAAGATGAGGTAAATTTTCATTAAATCAGATTCAAGAAGTATAATGGAAGTCGATATTTTTGTGGGAATGTTAGCGTTTGATCGTCTTCCTATATAGCAGATTTTGATATGATAAAATGATAATTTATCATAAATAAATTGTGATTTTATCTATTTATTAATTATTAAGCATGTAAATTAAAATGTTTATGATCACTTACAATAATATAAATTAAGTACTTGCATTGAGAAGTACAGCGCAACACAATTTATATTTTGATTATAATAATTTGTTCACAATCAATCTATATGGTTGACACATTAAACTGGAAGATCAGAGTGTTCACTAATTCACTATCTGAGAGTGCAATTTATCCTTATCATAGAAATAGTTCAAGATGATAATGGTACAATTGGCTTATATTAAATAGACCATTATCGAGTTTATTTCTATAACATGACCATGAGGATAATTAAATTTCACTTGATTGCCATGAATATTATCTAAATCCTTCAACAGAATTATGTATATGTTTTTGTGACTTTAACAATTCTTTGATTCACCTATGAGTGAGATCAATTTGATTGGTCAAATATTTTGATGAGTTGAAAACTTGAGAATGAGTGAAGTATAGAATATGAATTCGTATCGGAAACCATAACCCTGGGTAGAGAGACAGCTTAAGTATTTTCTATTGAAAGGTAAAAATTTGAGCTTAGCATTTAACCACGGCTAAATTTCGACATCTATGAGTTGTTTTATAGGATCGTTGAAGAAAATTGTGCTTAAGCTAGTGCGTATAATTAGAAAGGCAAAACGATCATTTATATTCGTACCTAATTATCGAATACTAGATGGGATAAAATACATACGTGGTGGGTCAAAAGAAAGTATCATAGATTTACTACTTTTGTGATCTTAAATATTCCAAAAATTTAGTCTTTTACCTTCAGTAAAAAAAAAAAAAAAAGCAAAAAATAATAATTAGATTGAACGATCTAAATTTGATTAGACATGATCAAATTATTGGAGCTTGACTAATACATGTCTGACTTTTATGAAATATTGGAACTTAATTGGAATTATTATAAAAATTTTGTGCTTAATTATAATTACAATAAAGTTGTGTACTTAAATGTAATTGCCATAAAAGTTGTAAATTTAATTGTAATTGTAAATAAAGCTCTAGTATTACACACATAATTAAACGTAAATTAATTGGATTTTAACTCTAATTAAAACTCTTATTTGTATTTTAATTAAAACTCATAATTCAATGTGGAATTCTTATTATATATGGACATGAAATTATTTTATCTCTATAAATAGAAACTATATGGAACCTAGACATCTGATTGACTACAACAATACGTAATATATAATTTCATAGTATTCATATTGGAGAGAGAGAAAATTGTTTTTCTTATTGTTTAGTTCAAGAATTAGTTTTATGATTTAATTAAAAAAAGGTATCCACCCACCCATATAATCTCGATTTTCGAGAATATATTGGAAAGACGTGGGGATTTGAAATATCGAGTTTTTGAAATTAAATGTTGAAAGCTTGCAATTCAAAAAGCTAAAAGTGCGTAATTCAGAATTAATTCAGCAATTAACATCGAATTCAGGTAAAGTTTCAAATCATTTATTCTGGATATAACATACAAGTGCACATCCATACGATTTTGTTTCTTGAATTCAAGAATAATACTTTCTCTGTTTCAATTATATAGGCTTATTGGAAAACTAATTTTTGTCAAGATCTTTCATAGTTTACCCCATTTAATTTTCATATGCAGTAGTAAAATACTATTGGAATTAGTAAAGAATTTGAATGTTTGAGAAACGAGAGTTGTTCCATGTTTCCAGGAAGTAGGAAATGTGTCTTTAGATGATTTCAAGAAGTTGACATATTAAATGGGAAAAATTGAATAAGGGTATATTGGTAAATGAACAAAACAAAATATTTTAAATTAGGAAACATGTCAATATATTTGAGACAATTGAAAAAAGAAATCCAACCTATATAATTGGGACGGATGGAGTATATATTTTTAATTTTGAGTAATTCAACTTTCGCATTCCAACCATTATCTTCTACAAGATCTGTGCTACATGGATTAACAATTGTTCTTTCTTTGTCTAGTTTGTGATAGAACTGATAAAATCCCATGTAGAATAAGAACCAAAAGTCTTTCACTTGTGTACCTGTAAATAGAAATATTATATTTTGTATATTTTTATTCCAATTTGAGTGGGAATGATGGAGAAAGTTATCTTTTTAATTAGTTGGATAAGTCCAGATCAATTCAACTACCACATAAATTTATGTTAAGCACCACTCGTGAAAGTTCAATAGCATCCTTAATTTTTATTTTTATTTTCCATTTGAATTTCCCTAAGAATGCTCCAACTCAGGCAAATGGCCAAATAAAGTTTTGATTTAACGATACGAGGCATTGACATCAAATCGCTTCTTTATACTTAAGACAATTAAATTCACACAACAAATTCTGTTAGTTGCACCATTTTCAAATTACAATTAAGGCCATCAATATAAGATCAATGTAATATTTATGTTCGTAACTTTTTTGCGGACACATTCTTTTCTTCAACCTTAGCATATCTTATCTAATAATAGTATTCATCCAAAATATCCATTGGGAGGGCATAAAATGACTTATTTTCCCATCCATTTTTAAAAAAAATAAAAATACAAAATTAATAAATACAAAAGTTCGACAAAAATATTTTTCCCCATTTCAAATCACGTGGATGATAGGTTTTGAAAAAGAATAATGTTATTTGCTGCCGATCATTACCACGTCGACTTATATGTAGGAATGTCAAATGGATTGAGCGGCTCGTCCGCTCGTTAAAACTTGGCTTGTGGGTGGCTATTTGATGGGCTCGAGCACGAGCCGAGCTCACGAGCGGCTCGTGGGCATGGCTCGCGAGCCAAAAGTTCACGAGCCCACGACCTCATCAAAAATTGTGAAGAAAAGTTTGAAAATTTTCAAAAAAAAATAAATAAATAAATTATCGAGCTCGCCCACTGAGCACGGGCCGAGCTCTCGTGCTCGTGTGTTTAAGGGTCGAGTTGGCTCGGCTAGACTTATTTCCATCTCTACCTATGTGACATACATGTGACGTTTAGTGATTTATTCTATAAGATAATAAAAGACTATCACATTAATGTATCAAATCACTAATCGTCACATGTATGTCACATTGAACAACTACGGCAGTAAGTAATTGCAAATAATATTACTGTTTGACAAAATGTTTGCTAATTAATATAATGTTGAAAGTAATAACTTTGACAAAAAAAAAAAAAAGATTTAAAACTTTTTATCATAATTTGAAGTCTTTTAACCTTAAAAAATTAAAGCGAGGTACCATTTATTTATAAGTATCCTAAAATTCATTTATTAGATTAAAAAAAAAATAAAAATATATGAGTTATCTATATTATCATATTGTACCAAATTAATAATTGACAGCATTTTATAGATAATTGGGCCAAAAACATTTTTCAACCATCCAAAATTTGTCAAATCATTCTGACAATCTGATTCTAATATAATAATATGTTAAAATGTCATAATTCAAAAAATATCCAACTTGCACACGATGTCGAAAACAGATGAGTTGTTGAAAAATAATTGTGCCATATGTAAGACGTGAGGAATTTATTGATAACCTAACTAAATTTATAAAACCTAATTTATTTATGAGAAAGTCAACAAATTCAATTTTGTTGGTTGCGTAGTTGCAAAAATAGCCTTTACTGCACTTCTTACTCGGACAAAAAACACACACATAAAACTTATCCTTTTTCTGTCATTTTATTTTCTGTCATATATGTAATATGTTTATGCATATATACTTGATTTCTTCTTCGTCTGAGAGTTGTAAGAAATTTGTGCATGCAGCAGTATGAATAGCAGTGAAGGGTCTGCTTGGCAGAGGAAAATAAAAGGAAAGATGTATCAAGAAAGGGATAAGACCACCAGCTTTCTCTCTCAAGATTCAGTGATGGATTGCAAGAAAATGATGGGCAAAAAGAAGGGGAAAATATATCCTCTTTTATCATTTCATGAATTGCCAGATTATATGAAGGATAATGAATATATTTTGAATTACTATAGAGTTAATTGGCCTCTCAAAGAGGCTTTCTTCAGCTTATTTCGTTGGCATAATGAAACCCTTAATGTATGGACGTAAGTACTGTTTTTATCTCAGAATTTCCCTTTTTTTCAATTTTTTTCTGATCAATTGTGTTTATTATGACTTTTTTTACTGGGATTTTTGTTTTTTTCCTATTTTCCCTGTGCAGGCATTTAGTAGGATTTGTACTATTTTTAGGATTAACAATTTGCAATCTGATGCATGTGCCTCAAGTAGCAGATTTCATTGCAATCTTTACTGGGTAAGTTCAAGAAATTTTACTCTGGTGCTAGGGGTAGGGGATTGGAGGTAGGAAGAAGATTAATTCCGGGATTTTGAATAAAATAATTAAAAATCGTTAGAGGGATTTAAATGCTAAAACACAAATGTCTGGAAGATTTTTGGAGAGAGGGTGAGTGTGTCATTTAGGGAGGAATTATAAAGGGTTTAATTTATAAATAGATAGAAATAAGTCGTGGATAAGTGGATAAATAATTTATTAATTTTGCCAGACAAAGATTTAGTTAGTGGAAGACATCTTTGAAATTTGCTTATTTAGTATTTTATATATCTTTGTTTGGAAATATTGTAAGCTGAAGATGTATACTGAACCGATTAATTAACGACAAAAAGCTAAGAGTGTATCATACTTCTTGTCATTGCTTTGTAGTTAAATGATCTTCATTTTGACATGATTTTTACATTAAAGAGAAATTATACTGTAGTATAGATCTGTTCGGCCAACTCATTTAAATGAAAGAGACATTTGACTGTCATATGTAAAAGAACTTCTTATTAATGTCCAAAGTTCAATTAAAGGCTGTTTGGTAGGGTTTTTGAGAAGACTAAAATTGCTTCTGTGACTAAGAAATTGATTTTGAATATTTGTGGATAATTTTCTGAAAGTTCTTACTAATCTAAAGTAGCTTTCTCATGAAATTTTTCTACAAGTAGGAGCCGTGCCAATGGGCCCTAAGTAGTGCCAAGTTACAATTAAGCTATCAATGGGAGAATATTCACTCCTTGTGCCCCATTGTTATTTTGATTAAAGGTTTGACCCTTGAAAAATGTCTATGTTGATGTTCGCGACTTGACCTCACAGTATGTATCTGTTCCTATGTCATGTTGAACTACTTCATTTAAAATTTTGAATTGTTGGAAAGGGAGAAAATTTACTTATTTTGTGTTCTCATCTTTCAACATGATGAACTTTTGAAAGCTGGGGTGAGGCCAAATTGGACAAATCAAATTTATGTAAGGGACTATTGATTGATGAATAAGGCATGTTCTTAATAATGTTCCAGAAAAATATAATCAAGAATTTTTGTTGTGAAATATGGCAATTGTAGCCTATACATACTTGGCTCTTCATTGTTGAAAACTTGAGCTGGTACCCTTTATTTACATAAAATCTGTGTTCAATGATCACTTTGTAAAATCTTGTGCTTTTAAATGATGGTAACCATATATTTTCTTCTTGTACAGACACTTTGCTTCTGGTGCAGATACTAATTTCTCTCACAACTTCAAGGATTTTTCCCCGGTGAGTTCTACAAAAATTACTTTATGACCCGTCTCTTGATCAAAAAAATGAATTTTTTTCGAACTCCATCTTTTCAGGGACCAACAAAATTGATAGATCTAAAGCAAAAATCCCATCTGAATATGGATATTACATCCCCTGAAATGGCTGCTATAAGTTGGCCATTCTATGTCTTTTTAGGTGGTTCAATGTTCTGTCTCTTGTCAAGCAGCTTTTGCCATCTCTTTTCTTGCCATTCCCATCACTTAAATATACTACTACTGCAAATGGATTATGTTGGAATAACTGTCATGATAATCACCTCATTTTTCCCTCCAATTTACTACATCTTCCAACGCACTCCCCACTGGCAAATTGTTTACCTTACTGGAATAACAATAATAGGGATTTTCACTATCATAACCTTGCTTATTCCGGCCTTCTCGACTGGGAAATACCGCTCGTTTCGAGCATGTCTCTTCACGTCCATGGGATTCTTTGGCCTTGTGCCTGCCATCCATGCTGCGGTTGTGAACTGGAACGATCCTTACCGGAATATAACGCTAGCCTATGAGTCGGCCATGGCGCTATTGTACTTGATAGGGGCATCGTTTTACGTTAGCCGGATTCCCGAGCGGTGGAAGCCCGGGTGGTTCGACCTGGCCGGTCACAGTCATCAGATATTCCATGTGTTTGTAATCTTGGGGGCTTTGGCTCATTATGGTGCTGCACAAATTTTCTTGAGGTACCGCAGTAGAATAGGGTGTGACTAAATTTATGTGTGCTGTGTGAAATTGGGCCTACTATAACCCTTTTTCATTTGATGTTGTATTTGTATAGTAATTAATTTGCATTTGCCTCTTAAGACGAATGTATCTTATTTGTCAACGAGCTCGGAATTTTATTAGATGATTGATCTTCATCTCGAAGTATCTTTAATTTTGTCTAAACTTTCACTTCAAATTTGAAAAATTATCACATCAATAACACAGTGTCGTGTTGACATTATCTTGTGGATGATTTCGATTCTTGAAATTTAATGGATCGAATGATGACCAGATGCCCACCACTAGACCAATGTGCCGTAGCAATCGAACTGATCAATTTTGCTACAAATCCATGAATTGGTTCGAACTAATCGATCCGTTCCCTGAAAATTACAAAATGATATACCAGACGTCACAAAAATTGACAGCCACAGAACCTGGAGGAAAAATAAAGGCGTATATCATACTACAAATTTGATCTTTTTCTAAATCTAATTGAGCTCGTACAAATACAGGTAAGAGCTATCTATTCTACGGGACAATGAAAAATCAATGTTCTAAAAGGCGTGATGCGTGACGGCCGAGCAATGGGTTAAGCGAGTTTTGACAAGGCATAAGCGTAAAAAACTAAAAATGTGTTTTATTATTTTAATGTTATTTAATTTTTAATCAATCAAAGAATCATTTAATAATTAAAAATAATACCTACCAAACATCTAAAACAGATTTATAGAAAATTTATACATTTTTTTCAAAGTTTCCAACAAAAATATAAGTTTTATATGTAAATACTAAATAGTGAATAAATAAGAATTTTTGGATTTTTTTTTTATTCAAAGCTTCAATTTCCCGTTTTGAAGTAGGACAAACGAAGTGAAGAAATCAGCCTTTAAGTTTTAACTTAAAAAAATTGTTAAAAAAAATTATACAAAAAAGATAATGCACGTCTAGTGGTCAATGGCAACCTGCTGACATCTAAATAAGGCACCAAGCCACTCGGCTTGGCATTTCCATGGCTTGGCGTTTCCGCCCCCACATCGCTCCTAAGCTTTGTCTAGGCGTGCCATTTAAAACACTGTGAACAACTAATAATGATATTGGATTTATTTTTCAGAAAAGAAAAACTATAAGAATTAATAACATTTTAGTTACTAAATGATTTTTTAATAAGGTTCTATTGATTAATGGTCAACTTCATCTTCAATATTTTGATCATAACAAAAAAGATTAATATTGTTTCTAATAATTTTTTTTATCAAGGTGTCCGCCTTCGACGACTATTACTTAGGTTTGTGATTCGACCCCTCTTCACACAGACCAGTAAAACCGTGGGATGTGCCTCCAATTGACTAGGGTCCGAACACCTCTCCAACTAGACTGCCAAAGTGCCTAGTGAGCCAATCCATGTTGCGCCTTGCCTTCCAAGACACTCCTATCTTTCAGGATAAATCTTGCCTTCCAATATGTGTCTTGCTTTCCAAGAGCCCCAAGAATCGGACCCACGACCTCTGATCTGCCAGCTTTGAGAGAACCCGTCCTTTGTCAGTGGAGAAGTGCCTCGGGGGGCAATATTGTTTCTAATAATTTATTTTGAGTAATGATAGTTCAATGTTAAAATCAATCAAGTATTAAATATCAGACTTGAAATGAAAATCAAAGTGAAAGTTAAGCATTCGAATCAAATCACTTGAGAAGAAAGTTTAAAAGATAAATGCCAAGAAAGATCAAATCAAGAGCATGATAAACGGCATCAAAGAAAGATCAAGACGAGACTTTCAAGAGCCAAACACGAAAGAAATTTTGAAGCAAGATCAAAGACTAGGCTTTCCAGATCATATGTAAAGGTATAATACTTTGATCCTTAGTAATGAATGATAATAGCTAAAAAATCATTTTACGCACGAAAAGTTATTTTCACTATCGTTTGCGTAAAATATTTTAACCAAAATTAAATTTGATTTTTCAAAGTCATACTTGAACTTGAATCACAATTCTTAAAAAAATAAATGAATAAATAAATAATCAATGGTCAAAGTCAATGGTCAATAGTCAACTGAACATCTGGTTGACCGAGCGGACGTTCAGTTTGCCAACGATTAAATTTTTTAACCATTCTGACTTCTGACTCACAGTTGCTAATTCGGTCATCTGGTTGACAAGCAGACTTTTGGTTGGGTATAACTCTTCCGTTTTGATTCCTATAAATATCACTTCATATATATATATATATATAAGAGAGCTTCCTTGTGGAAAATCTTCTTTGAGTTTACATTTTTATTTTTATTTCATTTATTTTTTTACAGCAAAAACTTTGATTGTTGAATCAAAGTTCTTGAATCAATTTCTCTCATTGAAGTTTTTCATATCTCTTTGTTCTTAACTTATTCATATCAATTTTTAAAAAAAGAGATATATTTTTTAAGAATGTCTTTGAACTTATATTGCATAATCCTTTATATTTCTTTCATATTAAAAACCTTGATTGATGGAATCAAAATTTGTACAATCATCATATTCATCAAAGTTTCTTATTTTTCTTGGTATTTAACTTATTACAATCATTCGTTTAAAGAGAGATATTTGTTGAGAAGATTATTTGAACTTACTTTGCATTTATTTCTTGAAAATCTTTGATTAATTAAATCTAACCTTTTTAATTATCATATCTATCAAAGTTTTTCATCTAACACTTAACCTATCGTTTATTACTATTTATTGAAGTGTTAGCATCTTTTAGTACTTAATTTGTTTTGTATTATTTATCAAAAGAAAATTTTATTGTAAAATCATTTTGATAAAGTGTGGATCATATTGAGGTCCCTTAAAGCTCAATAGGTGAGTTATATTGAGGTCCTGCAATACTAAATAGTGAGGATCATGTTGAAATCCCGTAAAGTTCAACGTTGTAAAATGATCGTGCTCCTTATTTGTAAGTCATCGAAAGCATTGTAGAAGGTTGTTTTATACCATATGTTATGCCTATAAATTATCACTCCATATTGAGTCATCTTATTGGACCCGAGCCTGGCCCATTAGTGTTGGGCCCCAAAGTCGAGGCTCTGACAAGGCCAATCGAGGTGCAGTCGAAGCCCTAAGAAGTCTAACCGAAGCGCCTGTCAATGCGCCTATTATTTTGCTCACCTCATATTGGGCTCAGATTTAGGCCTACTAACCCGTTTGGCCCGCTTCACATCCATTTCTCTATATATATGGATTCAACTCACACAATCATGTTATGTTTTACATTCTCTAGCCAAATCCCTATATTCATACTATTGCACTCTATATATCTATTTTCGTCCAGCCGTTGACTTGACAATCGGAGTGCAAACGGTCGTCGGACGGCCGCCTTTGCCTCTTGACGGGGTGTTACATGCGTAGGTTTCGAGAGGACAAGGTTAGAGAATTTGTTGGAGCCATTTTTGGAGGTCAACAGATTGGCAGCGTCTGTGGGAAACGCTACGTTAACCATGTTATACCACATTCCTAAAGGTCACCGAAAATTGAAAAATTTCCGGGTGACAGTATTCTACTAAAAGAGAGACATTTCTAAAAACAATTTTATTTCTGTCGGAAGATATCATCAACCGGAAAAGAGAGAAAATGGCAGCCAAACCATTTGAAAAAATTTCCTTGAAAAAGGGAACTTTCGGAATGAATGGAAAAAGCCGGCCAAGGAGTTGAATAAACCCACCATGAAATAGCTATAGGAAGTTGGTACGAACTTGGGTTTTTTGACAAAAATGAAGGTAGCAGCAATTGAACCACAAAGCAACCACAATAAAATAGATAGGGGAAGGAAAGAAGTGGCCATTTTATCCAATAAACATGCACCAGGGGGTATTCCAAAAGATGTCCCCCCCCCCCCTTATTGCTGAATTTATTCACCATATTCTTGGGGAAAATCAACAGCAAACAATTTACAAAATGGCTACTAGGTAACGAAGCAGAAAATATGGCCACTGGAAAAACCTTTTTTGGAGCCATCTAGTTATCATTTTTCAATTCCAATCAAAGCAAAGAAGAAGAAAGGTCCAAGCTTGAAAACATCCACAAATGCACAAAAATGTGGCTACTCTTGTGAGAAGGGCAGCAGACCTCACTCGCATGGCCTCCAAATATCTGGAAATATTAGAGGCATTATTCATCCCTGAATGAGGAATTTTCGAGGTGCATTTACAAAATATTTGAGCCCAATATCCTGTTTGAATTGTTTGTTCGGGCAAAATATGCGATCGCCAGCCGAAGTCCTTAAAAAATTGGGTGAAATCCCACCCCGGCAACCACTTCCAACGCCCAACACCTTGCCGATGATTGGACTGAATTTCTCTCCGGTTTATTCTCCTCCTTTGTCCTTTGGTTTAGCATTTAATGTGATGGAAACAAGATGTTGACAGGGGCGTGTTTAGAAAGAAGAGTTGTACTTCTTAGCCGAATTTTTCCTGCTACAATAAGGCTTGAGTTTGTTGACTTTTCTCACACAATTGCAAGACATAATATGGAGCTCCTGAGTATGTATTGTTGGGCCAAGTAATTAATATTTTGTTCGGCCTCATGACCGCCATCTTATCCATTTCACATGGGTGAAATACTTGCATAAAGTTAGGCCACACTAATTTATTTTACTTGGGCTGCTCCAATTAATTGCCAGCCCATTAGATACTTTTTTTGGGCTAGTATTGGTTCTCTCTTATTGGGCTGTCCCTAAACACTCATTATCTTTTGGGCCTGATATTTTTGAATGCTTCATGTGGACTGCCCATGTGTTCCATATCATAAATCACTCAATTTAAAGCATAGTTTATATGTTTTTCCCACAGGGGCGGACCCACTGCTGGACCTGGTGGGTCACATGACCCACCAAGTTTTTCAATTTTTTTTTTAATATTTATATGGAAAACAGTAGAATTCCCAAGAGCCAAGTTCCCATTTCCCAGCCAACTCCTCCGTCCCATTAATTACAGCACTTTGAAAACAGAAAGATGAGAAGATAAACCCATTACAATTTACAAACCAATTCCAATTTCCAAACACCAAAAAACTGTTGCCTTCCCTTCCGGCCTTCCATAACCAGTGACCGGAGAAACAAGAAATATTCAGCCGGCGTTCCGCGTGTCTTTGCTGTGGCATGTGGCCTGTGAGTTTGTGACGTGTAGTGCCTTGCGATTGTGTGAAGTGTACTGCCATCCCATTCAGACTCAGCCATCCGTCGAGTCACCGACCGCCTGATCACTTCCCTCCATTGGCACCATTATAACACCGTCCACCTCTAAATGATTAGTAAGTGCACCCTGAGTCCATCTGTAATCTGTCTATGTAACTATATTGTGTTTTTTATTTTAATATGTGAGTTTTGAATTTGTTGAAACTATGTAATAGAACTACAGTACATTTTCTCCCAATTTCTGGAACAAGAAGAATTGGTGTAAATAAGAGTTCTTAAACAGTTAAACATACTTCTCTTCTGTGTTGTATAACTTCCCTCCTCGTCGTCCTCGACAATAATCTTAATTGCAGGAACCCTTTCCTTTCACACGAGATTCAAATACAATATAAAAAGAAACAAATAAACAAAAGAATAAACAGTTTATGCGGCTTCTAACCAATATTAGAACGGTTAGCTACTTAGCTTTCTTGTTCTCTCTTCTAGTTCTCGAATCTAGACTCAACTTCAAAAACGAGACTAAACTATTTTGCGAATTGGTTAGACTAAACTTCAAAAAAAATATGTTTTAGTTTTTGTTTATTCGCAAACCAACCCGGAGGTACTTCACTGTGGCAGTAGCCGGGACTGTATCACTGTATGTTTGAACTTGTCTTGTCTATATTTGATTTCTGAATATTTTGTGAATTTCTTGAACTAAGTATGTTAAGTTGTTATTTGTTAACATTGTTAACTGTTAAGTTTTTTATTTACCACTATTTGTTGATTTTAGCATTAAATGGAAATTTTTTTTCCTGTGAAAATAGTATAGTTTCAATAATTATCTTTAGACTTGTATTTTGGAGATTTTAACTTTTTTTTTAAAAAAAAATCAATGAGTTTAATTAGATTGAACCGAAGGCAAGAAACTTCATAACCAGATTTTATTTCTGCGCCGTAGAATTCATTAGGTTTAAGTTCATTCTTTTGTTTTTTTTTTTCAATGAATTGATTGTTTTCGTTGATCGTTTCTATCAGTTATGGAGAAGTATTTTAAACGTAAATCTACGTTTTCTTGTGATGAACAAGATGTTAATAAAAGGAATGTTTGAGATAAAATAGATGAAATGAATGTTGGGGATGAAACTAATGGAACTAATCTTGAAGATGGCCCGATTCAAACAAATGTCGAGGATGTTGGGAATGAAAGTCATGAATTGATGTTGCACAGCTACCTTCAGATCCTGGATTGAGAGTTCCAATACAAAATTATGATTTTAATGTCCGAGATAAAATTCGAAGAACATATGTGCAACGGGGTCCTTGTCAGCCTCGCAATCATGAATTTCCACCCACAAGAATGGCTAACAAAGATAGGTGATTTTGTGTTTCATGGTATAATGAGCATCCTAGTTGGTTAGAATACAGCATAGCCAAAGATGCTGTATTTTGCTTTTATTGTTATCTTTTCAGTTCAAGTGGTGGTTCATTTGTTAATGGTGGGTTCTCAAATTGGAAAAGGAAAGATATTATTAGAAAACATGTATGAGCATCAAATAGCGCACACAATCAGGCTCAAGTCCAATATGAATCATTCAAGAATCAAGAACAAAGCATTCAAACCTGTCTCTTTAAACAATTGCTTCAAACTCGAACAGAGTATCGAATTCGTTTGAATGCATCAATTGATTGTGTTCGATTTCTTCTACAACAAAGGTTGACCTTTCGTGGACATGATGGATCTAAAGATTCAAACAATCAAGGGAACTTTCTTGAACTATTATATTGGTTGTGTGATCACAATACTAAGTTGAAGGCGTTGCTTTGACGAATGCACCTAAAAATCTGAAATTAACATCATCACGAGTTCAAAAAGATATCGTGAGTGCTATTTCTTCTGAAATTCTAAACGTGATTATCAAAGATGTTGGTAATAGTTTCTTTTCTATTTTAGTGGATGAATCTCGAGACATTTCAGTGAGGGAGCAAATGTCAGTTGTCATTCGTTATGTGAAGAATGGACGTGTATTGGAACATTTTATCGGTGTTATACATGTTTCGAGTACCACAGCTGTCTCACTTAAGGCTGGAATTGATCAATTATTTTCCACACATAGTCTAAGTATATCTAATTTAAGAGGTCAGGGATATGGTGGAGCTAGCAATATGCGAGGTGAGTATAATGGTCTCAAAACACTTATTTTGAAAGAAAATTCAAGTGCCTACTACATTCACTGCTTTGCTCATCAACTTCAACTGGCTCTTGTAGCTGTGGCACAGAAACATCCAAAGATAGAAACTTCTTTCACTTCAGTACATAGATTGGTGAATGTTGTAGGAGGATCAGCTAAACGAAATGATCTTATTTGAGAGAAACAAAGATTGAAAATTCTTGAATCACTTAGTACGGGTGAAATATCAAGCGGGTGGGGTCTCAATCAAGAAACTACTCTTAAGCATTCTGGTGATACACGTTGGGGGATCTCACTACAGTTGTCTACTTAACCTAATAGTCATGTTTCAACCACAGTTGATGTTGTTGAGATGATTGCTACTGACACTACAAGTTCTGGAACAAGATGTGATGCATGTATTTTATTGGAGTTGATTTTAAAATTTGAATTTGTATTTAATCTACATCTCATGAGAAAGATTTTGGAAATTTCAAATGAATTGTCAAAAGCATTACAAAGAAAAGATCAAGATATTGTTAATGCCATGAGATTGGTACAATTATGTAAAGCACGACTCCAAACCATGAGAGATGATGAATGGGATTCTTTTTTTGGAATGGTTTGTTCGTTCTGTGAAGCTCATGAGATAAATGTTCTCAATATGGATGATATGTTCGTAACTCTAGGTCGTTCACGACGTGATACAGTGACAAATTTGCATTATTTTCGTGTAAAAATGTTTTATGCCATCATTGATATGCAACTTCAAGAGCTGAATGATCGTTTTTCAGAGGTCAATAGTGAGTTACTCCTTTGTGTTGCATGTTTGTGTCCAAATAATTCATTTGTCGCTTTTGACAAGAATAAAGTGATTCGACTATGTCAGTATTATCTGGCAGATTTTGACGCGACAGATATCTTGGAACTTGATGATCAACTAGATACATATATCTTTGACATGCGCACTCACGAAGATTTTGGAGAATTACAAGACCTTAATGATCTTGCACAGAAGTTGGTTGCAAAAAATAAACATGAAGTTTATCCATTAGTTTACAAGCTTGTGATATTAGCCTTAGTCCTTCCCGTGGCTACTACTACAGTCGAGAAAGCATTTTCTGCGATGTCAATTGTTAAAAATCGTTTGCGCAATCGAATTGGGGATCAATGGTTGAATGATAGTTTGATTGCATATATTGAGAAGGATGTATTTGACAATATTGAAAATGATGTCATTATGGAACATTATCAAAATATGAGAACTCGTAGAGAACAATTGTAATAAGATATCGAATATTTAAATTCTTTCGTCGCCTTTTTGACAAGTTTGATTGTGCCCCACTAACTCAAAATGTCTGCGTCCGCCACTGTTCCCCCAGTGGTTGAACCGTTTAAATCGTAATAAAATTAATCTTCCGCCATCACCATTGAAGAGCATTGTAATGGGGCTTAATTTGATTGCTAGAAATGAACTATCACAATATTATTGCCCATATGTATTGCAAATGGCCGAAAAAATGCGCCATGAATTTAGCAAAATGCATTGCCCAGATCCCTTTTATTTGAAGGCTATATTAATCATTTTAGATGATTCTTTATAATTCGAGGCAAACTTTAAGACCTCGCATGTTCGGTGTTAGCTTGTAAGACCTTACATCATTTAAGGCGAGCCATATCTCTTGAATTTCTTATTATTAAATGCAGCATTCTATGAGTCCTCGTTCCTTGAATAAAGGAAGAGGTATTTTTTGAAGTCTTTGTTCCTTGAATAAAGGACGAGGCAAATTGTTAGATGTATTCGCCCTTGCAAAAGGAGCATTTCCTGACCTATTCGTGGATCACTGAGCTTAGCGTTAAGTCCTCGTCTATCCGAGACTAGTTTATAAGACTCCGATAGTTCGACTCTTCGCCAGACGTATGTTCCCTGGCTTCGCGGGATGTCTTTTTCTCGCCTCACTATCGTCGAGCTTAGCTCTAAGACCTCGTCTATCCGAGGCCAACTTATAAGACTCCGATAGTTCGACTCTTTGCCAAACGTATGTTCCCTCGCTTCGCGGGATGTCTTTTCCTCGCCTCACTATCGCCGAACTTAGCTCTAAGTCCTCGTCTATTCGAGTCCGGCTTATAAGACTTTGACAGTTCGACATATCGTCAAATGTTTATTTTAAGGCTCCGCAAGATGTCTTCCTCACTTCTCACTATTGTTGAGCCTGACTCTAAGTCCTCGTCATTCCGAGGTAAGTCACTAAGTCTTTGATAGTTCGAGACTTATTCGTGGGAGGTCTATCTCCCGCCTTGCCAAATGTTGTTCGCAGCTTGACAAAGTTTCAACCCTCTCGACGCGGAGTCCCCTGTGGGTCATTGCCTCGGTTGTAGCATTGCGAAAGCTTTACCGACCTTCAGCCATCTTCTGCATCGATCGCAGATGAGCTCCTTACTTAGCTTTACAAAGTTTAGACGCACCTGACGCAGAGTTCCCTGTGGGTTATCTCCTTAGTGGCTACGTTTCCTCCTAAACTTTACAAAGCTTTAGCCGTCTCCCAATGCGTCGTCCCCTGCGGGTTAGCGCATCAGTGACGGATGAGCTCCTTCCTCAAGCAGGCATTGAAGCTTCAGCATCTCAGTCGAAGATGTGTCCCGACCTTCAGCTTCACAACCTTTAGCATCTCCCATGCATTGTCCTATTATTCAGAGCTTCGGTAGAGACAGCTGAACCTACAACCACAGCAGCAACCATACACTCAGCTGATCTTAAAAAGTTAACGACTGGTATACATCAATATGCTTCAGTATCAGTACAGCTGCTTATATTTAGTCCAGAGCATCGTCTCTACTACTACATCTAGAGCATCGCCTCTGCTACTATGTCCTAAGCATTCCCTCTGTTACTACAATCAGAGCATTACTACTGTAACGCCCCGATCCCTAGTGGACCGAAACGCTACTTACTTTACTTAACTTAACCGATAGTTTAGTAACAAGTGTATACGTTTTAGCGGAAGCTTACATCTTAAGATAATAATTTAAATAATAATACTTCAAATACTTTAAACAAAAATACTGAATTATTTTTCAAAACAACAAAATATAATCTATTTGAAGAAAACATAACTTGTTCTCGCATTCTGCGTTATTCAAATATTTAAAGAAATAATATTGGAAAACATTTCATAAAAATAAATCCAAATCACTTATTCACCGGATTTCCAGGGGCTCGTTGCATCACTCTCCATCTTCTCCTTCATCCATTCCCGAGGTAAAATTCCTTCAATCTATAGAGATGGGATTAAACCCGTGAGTTGAAAAACTCAATAAGTGTCATAGGTGTATTCGTGATCAAGCTATACATTTCAAAACATTAATTTTATAACTTTTCATACATGCCGTACCCGGAGGCACCATTTGACATTAAGGGGTATGCCGTACCCGAGGGTACCATTTGACATGCGAACATTTCTTTAACATAGAGGGGTATGCCGTACCGGAGTACCATTTGATATACAGCCATTAACATAGAGGGATATGCCGTACTGGAGTACCATTTGACATACAAATATTAACATGAATCGAAACTTATAACTTAACACGATTAAACACATTGTACCTCTACCTACCTTGATTGATGCTTTTAAAACTTTGAAAACTTGGATTGAAAACTTCGATGAAACTTGGACGTTGAAAGAAATGCACTCCTTGGATGTTTGAAAACCGTTGATAATTGATGCTTGAAGACACTCCCTGATAGCACCCAAAACTTCTATGAAAAATGTTTGAAAACACTTCTTAAACTTCTAGGAAAAATAGTTTTCCTCCCTCTCTTTTTCTCTCTTGGAAACTCTTTCTTTAGTATGTAAAAGCTCTTGCCTTTGGTGTGAGAAAAAATGAGTGAAATGAGGTCTCTATTTATAGGTAAATATCCCATAACTTAAAGCAAATGAAGGGTCAAATTTCATTTAAGAGAGAAAACATGGGTGCCATCTAAATTTGAGGTTAAATGCTTCAATTTAGTGTGATTTTTATTGCCAAAAACGTGGGTGGCCCTTTGAGAAAATAATTGATGAAAATAAATATTTAAATTCTAGAGAAAAACTAGAATTTTCATTTCAGGCAGTTTCGGTCGACCGGTTGTAGTCCGGTGGACACTACACAACTTTCAGTGTTTTTATCATAACTTCTTCTCCCGATATCCGATTGAGGTAATTCAAAGTGCGTTGGAAAGCTAACTCAAAGAGCTACAACTTTTATTTAGATATCATTTTCCAAATCGAATGTTTCCTATATCGAAAATATGTCTCAAATGAGACTAAAAATCTGAAGTATACTTTAATCATCCAATATTCATGTTTTAGTGCCACTAAGGTGTCTAGAATTATTTGGAGTTCTACAACTGCAGCATCCAACGCATCGCCCTTGTCGCCTATGCTACTTACATTCAAAACATCGCCTCTACATCAACTTTATCACAATGGTACTTCAAGTCCGACCCCTATATAAATATTCGACTCAGACTTGGGGGGCTGCATATTACTGCTAGCATACGCATCACATTACTGTTTCCAAGCATGAATGACATATCACTGCAACCATATCATACATTATTTTCATCACAGTCAGTACGTATGTCGTGGCATCATTATTTTCATTTTATTGTCGACATCATGTTACTTGCTTTACTACAACACCATCGATACACTGAGTTGTGCGAGTACATGATTTACTATAATGTATGACAGACCCTCTGCACATATCTTGGAGAATGTGATATGTTACACCTTATGAGCATTTGAAGGGGCAAATGGACCCCAAATTTATTTGGTATATGTGTTGTGAATATATTGTATTGTATTACAAGATTGGTTTAGTCCATATTATAGGGGAGATGCTGCAGAAATTTTCAAAAAATATATGCGGTATATCGTTTGAGGCAATTCGTAAACCCTCGCTTATTCTGACACATATTTTCGAGGCAATTCGTAAGTCCTTGCTTGTTGGAGCTACCCATCTTTGTGAGGCAATCTGTAAGACTTCGCCTACTTGACAGTTCATATTTCAAGTCCGACCCACATATAAATAATACGACTTGAACTTGGGGGCTATTGTTATGCTTATAAATTATCACTCCATATTGGGTCATCTTATTGGACCCGAGCCAGGCCCATTGGTGTTGGGCCCCAAAGCTGAGGCTCTGACAAGGCCAACCGAGGCCCTAAGAAGTCTAACTGAAGTGCCTATTAATTTGCTCACCTCGTATTGGGCTCAAACTTAGGCCCACTAACCCGTTTGGCCCGCTTCACATCTATTTCTCTATATATATGGATTCAACTCACAATCATGTTATGGTTCACATTCTCTAGCCAAATCCCCATATTCATACTATTGCACTCTATATATTTATTTTCGTCCGACCGTTCACTTGACCGTCGGAGTGCAAACAGTCGTCGGACCTTTTTCTTGTCCGACTGCCTTTACCTCTTGACGTGGTGTTACATGCGCAGGTTTCGAGGGGATAAGGTTAGGGAATCTGTTGGAGCCATTTTTGGAGGTCAACACCATAAGTCAATCAAATTTAGTAAAAATGCCTTATTCGTGTCGAAGAGTTTGGTAACGACGGACTTAAATCATTGCTTTGGATCGAACCTTCACAATCAAATAGTTTGCGTTCCCTCTCCCTTCTCATTATCGTTTTATATTGTGCTTATTAATCTTCCTTATTTTACTGCATATTTGTGTGTATCTATTTTGTTGCTAACATTAGTTAGTACATTTTTTTTTAGATTTGAATTATTTCTCGTAAAAGTTTTAAAAATCAATTTACCTCTCAATTAGATAGCTATTCTTGGACTTTCAGGTTCAACTTTAATCTTTAAACTTCTAGATTTTATTAATGCCTTTGTTTTCTGTAAAACAAAAAATATTTTATTTTAGTTAGCCATCCAACGATGATTAATCCATTAAATCAATGACGTATCTATTTGATGCTTCGATTGAGTCAATGATCGGATCAAGTTTGATAATTATAATTTGGACCACCACATTTGTTCGTAAATGCACCACGTTCTTATTGAATTAAAGGTCTTTAAAACTTGTTTCATGTCACGTTATGTCCCTATTTTTTTCAACACAATTTTATCCTTTATTTTTCATTAGTTGGCAAATTTTGTCTTTAATGATAATTTTATCCAAAAAATTCAATTAACATGCTTTCAAACGAGTGAAAAATAGTTAATCATAATTTCATATTAGTTTTTGTTTTTTAGTTATCTTAATAATGTGAGGGACATAATTTTTTTTATCCCTCTTAGTAGAATTGTTGGACAAAAATTGTCAATCATAATGTGTTAATTAATAGAAGGTTGGGAATAAAAGTGAAATATAAAGAAGTTAAAAATATCAGCGTACAACGAGTAATGGTCAAAAATATTTTTATGTAATTATAAGTGATGTAATTATCAAAAATATGATGTCAATATATTTAGTTAAAATGAATTACACATTTGGAAGTAAAATCCTTTTTCATTATGTTTGGTGCACACAAGTTTGACTAATTCGCATATTTATAAAAAAAAATAAAAAAATAAAATTCCTTGTCCACAATATTTTGAAGACAAAAGGAATGTCATCAGTGATATAAATGAAAGAATAATATTATTTGCAGTCGCTCATTATTGCAGCTACTCTATGTAGTATATATGTGGCAGTTAGTGATTTGATATCTAAGACAATAAAAAATTTATCATATTAATGCGTCAAATCACTAATCGTCATATACATGTCATATAAGACGACTATGAAAATAAGTGATTACAAATAACATTACTCTAAATGAAATTATATACAAATAGCAAATTTCAATTTTTTTACCCACACTTTCCAAAACCCACTTGATCCTACCAGAGCACCCCACGTGTCCAGTTGTACAGTGTTTTAAATGCAGACATAAGCAAACTCGTCCTGTGATGCGCAGCTCATCCAGATGGATCCCATTTTTCTTCGATCTATGTAGTAACAGTCAAATCCGATGGCTGTTCTTCCACTGTTCTTACTTTGACTCCGTTATCACTCATTTGGTACAATTTCCGTATCCTGTAACAGTTTCGCATAAAAACTAACGGTCGTTAACAATTAAGGGGTTAGAATTATGGATGATCTAATCCAACTCTGAGTGGAACATCAACTTGGCCGCTAAACTTTATTTTCTTACAATAAAGTTACCCAACTTGTGAATTTGTACCGTATTTGTCACTCCATCCACCAAGGCACCAATTTTTACTTAAACAAATGTCTGTGTTCTACGTTTATGTTAATATTTTGAAGCTCGTTGACATGTCAATTAAAACCCTACCAATTTATACATGAATGGCCGGACAAAATCATTTATATTTGAACAATCCATTTTTTGCTCATTTAACGTTTTCATAAAATTCATTCTTCTATCATTAAAGAAGTGAAATATCTTTGATTTAGGGCAAAATTAAGAGTTCTCCAAAAGAAATACGAAATTGAGAAGAACAAAAATTAGATTCTACGACTGATAATGCAAATTGATTTTGATGCGCAGTTAAAGATCCCAATTGTTCTTCCAAGAAGAGGTTTTGTGCTTTGCTACCACTATCACAATCATTTGTGATGGTGTAATTAGTACAAAAGAAAATCTTCAACTCTGATTGATAAAGGAAACTGCATAAATTCAGCTCAAGGCCCTATATTTTCACAGGACGAAAAAGTCCTTTAAATATCGTCTTTACCTATTTTTCGAGACATGCAAGAAAAAAAGGACCAAGATGAAATAGTAATTTTTCAAGGTCAGAAAAGAAATTCATCTCTACAAAAAGATAATCTGACTTAATTACCCATTGATCAGAGACGAATGGAGGGGGAGACCGCCCAAAGGCCATTTTTTTCAAATTTTTTGTTTGTAAAAACAGTTTTATTGTAGTTCGGTCCGAAATTTTGTTGTCCGAACTTGAATTCAGTCCTGGATCCGCTTTGATGAAGAATTTACTGAGAAGCTGTAATAGAAAGAGAGTGCCTGTTCAAAGTTTTTTTTTTATCAAACTTTAATTTTAATTACATATCATGTATTAAAATTCACCAACAAAGAAACTTGAAGTATGGAAATAGCATCATTGCACAGTGCCCTGCCTACACATCAGCCCACGTGGCGCATGTAATAAAATAAGGGAAAAAACCACGAGGGGCGAAAATATTAATAGATAAAGCAGCAGTCAGAAGAAGAATATAGCAATTGTATTATACACAAATTTATAATAATAGAGATAAAGAGCTGTACTTGGGAATATGCATAATTAAGAATTATATAATAAGCTAAAATATGACGCCGACGGCCAACCAAAACAAATTCATAGCTTGGTTGGAGACTTTTCTTCTCTACCCAGAGACACTGTCCGACAACTCACCCAACACAGCTCTGTAGCTTCAATTTTCAGCTACTGGTTTATACATTTTTTTCCTTTTCTCTCTCTTTATCTGAAGGTTTGTTCGGTTTCTTGGTAATTTTGTATTAGATATTTTGACGAAAAGGGTTAGTGCATGTGGATAAATGTAGTTATAAAAATAAAAGACTGTTTTTTGATAGATCGTCGGGGTTTATTACATCCGGTGCCCGTTTTAAGTTCACTGATCAGCTTGATTTTTGGTGTTTTTATGAAATCATTTTTTCTGGGTTCATATGATGAGTTCACATTTTTTAATTTTTTTTTTGCTGGTTGGTTCTTCAGTATATGAGCTTTTTAAAAGTTATTTATTGAAATTCAAATTTTTTTATAGAGTTCCAAATTTAGGTGCGATTTTTTTAAGTCTATTTAGGAGTAGAGGTTATGACTTATGTCAAAACGCTTGAACACAATATGGATACATGGGAGTTTGTTGTGATTATATTTCAGAGTTCGACTCTTGATTCTGTTTATGCTAACTATGTAAATTAGATTCATGGTATGCTGATTAGCTAGATTTGTTGGATGCAATTTAACATAGTGCGAAAAAGTGCTATTGATCACAAGTTCATTACGCCCAAGTCTAAACTTCTTGGGTTGTTCAAGTTATTTATTTGGATGTGTGTAAAATGTAGCAGAGGTTTATGTTGATCTATGAATTTCAATTGTATTAATCTGTATCTTTCATAGAGTACTTAGTATGCATATGGTATATTGAGTTTCAATATAGTTTCATGTGGTAAATTACGATCTGTTCTAATCAATTTGTTATAGTAAATTGAGATTCATTTAATGAAATGGGCATTTTTTCTCAATGTTAACCCGTTTGATCTTTTCGTAGAATTCGTGACTAAGAGAGAGAATGTCAAGTGGGGGAACTCAGAATAGTTTAAGAAAAACGCTTGGAGCTCTCAAGGATACGACCACTGTCAGTTTGGCTAAAATAAATAGTGACTACAAGGTATTGTTAAGTGTTTGTACGTATAAAAAGTATATTTCTCTGGTCTCTGGTTTTATTTAGTATCTTCTTTTTGCAGGAATTGGACATTGCCGTTGTGAGGGCTACAAATCATGTTGAGCGCCCAGCAAAAGAAAAACACATAAGAGGTGGGTAACTGTGAAGGGTGACATGGCTGTCACGTGTTGAGGATATGCACCAAAAGGCTGTCTTCAACTTATCTTTTATAACATGATTGTTCTTGGCTTCCAAAATGGTTACCTGATGGACTGTTACGAATTTTATTTTCAGCTATCTTTGCTGCTATATCAGCTACCAGGCCTCGAGCTGATGTTGCATATTGCATACATGCTCTTGCAAGACGTTTGTCAAAAACTCATAATTGGGCGGTATGTGTTTGAGACGCTGCTAACAATTTACTTAATAATGATGGTAAAAAATAAAAAATAAAAATTGTGTGGCTGGCAGTTGAAAACTGGGTAAAGAAATATGGTTTTTTTTTTGTCATTTAGTAATGTTCTTGTATTGATGTCAAAATCTGTCAACACTCATGATGCAAATCTCCTGATATTGCTTTGTGATTTAGATCTGGCGATATACCTATAAAAATACATATGTCTTAGGCAGTTTTGTCCGGTGTAGGGCCTTTACTGCTCAAATCATCAGGTATAGGAGGAATATGGAGTGATAAGTACACAAAATATTACAAATAATTCACTTGCCAATACTTTTTCCCATGAAGGGTTTACATACTTATAAATGGCAATACACATAAATCTGGTAGTTCCCTCAAAACTTCCTTATCTAGCCATATTAATTATTACGCTTCATCCTTAATTTGGAAGTTATCTTCAACAACATGCTTTTCCATGTCTTTTATGTTTGGATCTAAGATATATTGAATATATCACAATGTAGTAATTATTATAAGTATGTAATATCTGGTGGAGCAGAGGAGGTGCTGTAGTTGTGTAAGGCTCTTCTTACTGGCTCTACACACCGGTTTGAGTCTCACCCTTCCTTTCCATGTAAGGTCCATTTAGGGTTTTTGTAAAGAATGTACTCCATACTCCTCTCTAAGGATATTTAAGTTTTTGTATTTGATGTTTAGTTCATCAATTTTTTGGGTTATGATGAACCCTTTAGAGTTTCATATTTATCATAGCTTGCTTGTCTTTGACAATTAAGTCCTTGATTAACTATCCAACTCCATCATTGGGGCTTTAGCTGTTATATCTAGTATGATTTGGGTGTTGACAATGATTATTAATGAGGAGTGTAATGACTGCTCAATGTTTAGCAGATCTTTTACAATTGGTTAGGATCCATGATTTTGGCAAGCAAAACAAGAGAAGAGTGTAATAAAAGGCTTAGTTTAGAAGCGTGTGGTGGTTTCAATATCAAAACATATGATATCAAGTGGAGTAGCCAATTGATTAAACACTTCTGTAGATTGGTATCAAGAATCAATTCAGGACAAGTGTCTTAACCCCAACCATCATATGTGACATGGGAGAATGAGCTGTTTATGAGCTAATGATGAAAATGACTCTACTTTGGTGCAATAACAGATCTCGGACAATGCTTATTAACAAAGAGCTGCGATGCTTGGACTCGGGTGTGATGTATATTTGGGAGTTGGATCCTTTTTTTTATTTTTTATTTTTCCTAATATCTAGGACATGGGGATATGGCTAAAGATGATCCAAAAAATAGACATGCGTCAGTGGATACTCCTTATAATCTTAAAACTGCATCAGATTTTCTGGGGAGATATATTATATATTTTCCTGTAAATCTATAACAAATTAAATTGCAAATTTAATACTTCATTTCAAGTCTAGAAATGTGAATTACAAATTAAAAATAATTTTAAATACGATTTTAAATTAACAAAAACGATATAAGAGATCCTCTTTTGATTTAAAGGATATCATACCATTATCCTTGTCATGTGTGACTGAGACGGGAACTTCCACAAAAATGGAGTCTTCAAGCAAGCATAGACAAAGAGGTTGATCAAAATGTCTTCACACTTTTTTGTATGGTTGCACATATATGAGAAGTACTTTCAAAAAATTATGTATATTGGAAAGAGGTTTCCAGAAAAAGAATGTATAGGAAAGAGAGAAACTATGTGAAAAAATTGTGCAGTTTTTGAGCAAACGTTTGTGTGTGAGCTGAGGCTTACGGACTTTGATTTTATTTTCTCTTTCATGGCGTTTTCTCTTCCTTGAGTTCCAAGATCTAAATGGAACTTGGCGTATGATTGTTTACTAGTTAAGGAAATGTGTAGTTGAGTCTCATTTATCAATATTGTATTCTAATCTGAACTTGTCCTTATTCCTTGAACTCTTTTTTTTAAGCTACAGATTCGGGAATTCATGTGCATGTTATCTATGTGCATATGTGAAGTTATTGGTATGCTATGCATAGATGGTCTGCTTTTGTTATTGAGAGAGGTTATATCGAGCTTCTAAATGATATTTCTTCGTTGAAACTGCGAACACCTTAATATTCACTTTACTGCGACTTGTATAGTTTTCTGATGCTTCTAATTTATTTTGAAATTGCTTTTTCCGTTTGCTTGGTTTTCTAGTCATAATACATGATAATTGGCTATTTATTATCTTCCTCAGTAATCTTCCTTGTCTTTTAGGTTGCCTTAAAAACTTTGATAGTAATACATCGTGCATTGAGAGAGGTCGATCCCACATTCCAGGAAGAACTTATCAATTATGGTAGGAGCAGGAAGCATATGCTTAACTTGGGCCATTTTAAGGACGACTCAAGTCCAAATGGTATGTTTTTATTTTATTTCACAAGCCCTGCAATTTTACAGCAGCAAATGTCTTGGTAATGAAATGCTTGTATTTCTTGACCAGCCTGGGATTATTCTGCATGGGTGCGTTCCTATGCATTATTTTTGGAGGAGAGGCTGGAATGTTTCCGGTTGTTGAAATATGATGTGGAGAAAGAGACTCCGGTGAGAAATTTATTAATATCAAGCTCTGTTTATTTATGCTGTGCAACAGTTCACTCTATGTTTATCTGTTGGATTGAGCTATGAGTTATCCACTTTTCCATTATCATGTTGAATTATACACTGGAGCTTATATGCTTATTTATACTGCTGCTTTGGTTGCCTTTTCCCTTGGTAAGGTGGTACTCGATGTGTGATCTGCAAATCTGTGCACCTCTAAATGCATAGGGCCAATTAATAACTAGTCACAATATGAAACATCATCTCTTCCTTTCAATAATCTGTTATAGTTATGACTGCCTTTTAACACATTCATGTATTTATTAGGTTCTCTTTTTCTAAAACTTAATCTCTGCCCTGTCGATATATTTTTCACATGGAACCTGGTTTATCCCTAATTTTTAATATTTTAATTTTTATATTATTTTTTAATGAAGTTGAAGATCCTCATCAATGTTAGAACGAAGTGCTTGTACAATCGAGACTTCCGAGCATCATGTTCTAATGACCTACAAGAAAATTCTCTTTGCTATTTTCAGAAAATACTCATTCTGTGTATATTAGCACAATTGAATTATTTTCCTTGTTGATAATTCCTAAATGCAAATAATGATGCAGAGAACAAAAGATTTGGACACTCCAGAATTGCTTGAGCAATTACTGGCTTTACAGCAACTTCTATTTCGGGTTCTTGGTTGTCAGGTAATTTCTGTCACTGATGTGATTGCTAATTCTAGATCATTCATAAATTTCTGTCTTGGTAATGTTAAAGCTCATGTCAATAACTTATTTCTTCAACGTGTAATATATTCATTTGTCACTTTTTTTCCCTAATAATTTGAGCTATAATGATGTTAAATTTTTTCAGCCACAAGGAGCGGCAGTTCATAATTTTGTTATTCAGTTGGCCCTTTCTATGGTACATGAAGTCTTAATTTTCACATTTACCTTTAAAATAAAATAAGAGACTTTCTTCCACAATGTCTTGCGATTCTCTATTGTTATTTCATGTAGGTTGCTTCAGAAAGCATCAAAATTTATAATGCAATAAGTGATGGTACAGTTAATTTGGTTGACAAGGTATGTTACAACTTAGAATAACTCTAAACTATCTATTACTCAAGGAACGGTTGATTTATGGGGCTTCATTCTTGACAGTTCTTTGAGATGCAACGGCATGATGCTCTTAAGGCTTTGGATATATACCGGCGAGCTGGCCAGCAGGTACACCCATCAGACGTTATTTTCAAGAGTTCAACTATTTAGTGTATCTGTGGGGAGATTTTTCTTTTTTTTTTCCTCCCTCATACGAGTATCTTTATACTACTAAAACTATTCCAGGCCGAGAAATTGTCAGAATTTTATGAAGTATGTAAGAATCTTGACATTGGACGTGGAGAAAGATTTATCAAGATTGAGCAGGTTAGACTTTCTTGGTACCTTTAAGAAGATATTCTAATTTAGTTTGACTTAGACATTGTAAAGTTTCTCATTACCTTGTTTTCTGATGATGATGATGAAGCCCCCTGCATCATTTCTACAAGCTATGGAGGAGTATGTGAGAGAAGCACCACGAGGTTCCTCTGTTCGCAAGGATCTGGTATGGATCTCTCTTGAGTCATGAATATAGGCAATATCTCTATCTCCATACACACACATGGACACGTGTGTTCGCGCGCACATGTGCACCCTGGTGTTTGCATTAGGGAGAGGAATTGCCTCCTTTATTTTATAGTTAGTCATGGGTTGGATTTGAAGTCCCCATCCATATAACCAATCATGTACGATTGATTGAATCCATTGGCTCCTTATCCACCCATCAAAACAGATGCTTCGGGATAGTGAAAAGAAAAAACTATAATTAAATGTGATGCTGGCAAAATTTTAAGGCTCTGGTGTAATCTTAATGATCATTACATCTGTCTTCATCATAATCCTGACCCACAAATCTATATTTACAGAAAAATTTTGGTTATTGACGTTCCAGGAACATTTTGAGTTTAGACTAGGGGTGGGCGCGGTTCGGTTCTAAAGAGAACCGAATCGATCCAAAATTTTCGGGTATTTAGTAAATGGAATCGTCGGGTCCAAATATAATTATGGAACTATTCGGGTTCGATTCGGTTCGGTTCTGTACTATAATTAAATTTTTTAACATTTATAACAACATTATATAAATCCAATTAATGATATATTCAATGGTTTTGAAATGTCAGAGACAAGTAGACTACTTTGTTTAAATGATCGTTACGGTCAAAATTTCGGTTGGGGGGTCACAGTTTCGATTGGAGGTCACAGCATCGATCGACGATTATATAGGTTTTGGAATGTCAGCGAGTTTGCGAGAGTCGAGACAGCGTTATGCACTTTAGTGTAGATGTTTAGGGTTATTTAGTGGATTGGATCTTGTTGGGCTAAAAAATGAGACGATAAAATGGGTAATTGGGCCAAAAATTAAAAAATTAGAAATGAAACAAATTATTGGGCCAAAAATTTGGATTTAGAAAGTGTTAATTTGTTTAGAAAAAATTAAAATTAAAATAATTTGATTTATTCAATATAAAAAAAAATTAGAAAAATTCGGTTTTTATTCGGTTCTTCGGTTCTTGGTCTAGAACCGAGAACCGAACAGTACCCGTTGGTTCTCAATTCAGATACCTGTTCGGATAATTAATTTGACAAGAACCGTCGGGTTCGGTTCGGTTCGGTTCGGGTTCGATTTGGTTCGGGAGATTTGTCCAACTCTAGTTTAGACTGCCTTTATAACATCTGAATTCTGATCCATCTCACAAATTTACTGGGGAACGACCATTCATCGATATATCTAGTCACATATATTTATTATGAGAATGTAGCTCAAACATTCTCGAGATATTATTCATATTACTCATTATTTTTATGGTTTTATGACATGTACTGAATCAAGAATGTTGATTTAAAGTCAAAGGTGATATTACCCATAGAGTACAAAAAGAATTCAGAAGTGAAGGAAGATCGCGCACCATCACCACCTCCAGCTGGTTCGATTTGGTTCGGGAGATTTGTCCAACTCTAGTTTAGACTGCCTTTATAACATCTGAATTCTGATCCATCTCACAAATTTACTGGGGAACGACCATTCATCAATATATCTAGTCACATATATTTATTATGAGAATGTAGCTCAAACAAACATTCTCGAGATATTATTCATATTACTCATTATTTTTATGGTTTTATGACATGTACTGAATCAAGAATGTTGATGTAAAGTCAAAGGTGATATTACCCATAGAGTACAAAAAGAATTCAGAAGTGAAGGAAGATCGCGCACCATCACCACCTCCAGCTGAACCAGAACTGAAGCCAGAACCAGAACCAGTTAAAGTGGGAGCACTTGTTACAGAACCACCTGATCTGCTGGTAATTTTTAGAATATTGACAGGTTCATGATATTGAGCTTTTCTTTGTTTTGGTAACTTTATGCTTTGAACAATTTTTGAGCTTCTCGACGACCAAATTTCTCTATTTTAAAGGGTCTGGACGATCCTGTTCCGGCTGCCTCTATGTTAGACGAGAAGAATGCAATGGCTTTAGCCATTGTGCCAGTTGGTAAGTCTAATTTACTTGAAAAAGATTGAAACTTTACTCGTCTTTCTTAGTATTTGGATAAAATAAGAGTTCTTTTATTCTGGTTGATTCTATTTAACATATTTTTTTCATATATAAACACAAGATCTGGAAATTAATAAATTTGAGGGTTTAGTGTAGGCACGTTGGTTAAATGCTGTCATTGAATATCACTTGGTCTTTAGGACGAGCTGGATATTCATAAAATACTTGTTGCCATTGTAGGTGTTGCGGAACAACCAGCTTCCGTTGGACCAAATCTTTCAAATGGAACTACGGGCTGGGAACTAGCTCTTGTTACGGTGCCGAGCTCCAATGAGAGTGGTACTGCTGCTAGCAAACTGGTATTGTTCACCATCTTCCTTGGAATTTTTCAATTGCTTCACCAATAAAATGTTTAAAATATGTAAGAATGCTGTTTTTTGGGATTAAACCTTAATCCTGAACTTTGATAACCATAATAAACAAAATGTCATCACAAAAACACATAGATAGTGGTTCACCTTCAATAGAAGTTGCGTACATTACACTTGGAGCTTCAAATTTTTCACCATAGATACCAAGTTTTTTCACCCAATGTCTTCTGTACTGAAAAACAGCCCCCCCTAAATTTCTCTATAAAAAAGGAATATTAGGGTAACATAACACACGCAGACAGCTCGATGCTCCCCTGAATAGTAAATGTCTCACGGGCATTGCCCTAATTCATGTAATGTTTTTTAGCTTAAAAGGCACATTTGACGCGAGTACTTTAATTGATGATTTTTACTTTGACAAAGGCTGGTGGACTGGACATGCTTACACTAGACAGCCTATATGATGATGCAATCCGAAGAACCAACGAGAATGTTAGCTACAATCCATGGGTACAAGCTCCAACCGCCACTCCCATGATGCCACAAACTGCACCCGACCCATTCTATGCCTCCAACGTAATGGCTTCACCACCTTCCGTGCAAATGGCTGCCATGGCCAACCAACAACAGGCTTTAATGTTCCAGCAGCAGCAGATGATGATGATGATGGGGCCACAGCGGCCTGTGAACCCTTTTGAAACCCCATATGGAGCCAACAGCTACCCATACGCCTCAGGTATGCCAGATCAAGCCTATAATCCTCATCCAGGCCTTATTTAAGTATTTCCAACGATAACATTTTTTGTTGGAAATGCGAGAAGGATGAACATGAAGCTTTAGTTAGTACTTAATTTTACTCTGGATTGATATTCGAAGATGGATGATTTGTATCGTATGACGTGTCCAAATTATAGGTAGGAATTCAATTAGATGTTTTTATGATTAAGTAGAAGCAATTATTTTGCTTGTTGAAAAATAACTTCAGGCAGTTGGTAATAATGCTTTCGGGGTTTGAACGACTTTCCTTGTACCCATCTATGTTCGAACAGGGTCGATTTCTTGTTTATGGGATTCTGTAACGCTGTTTTTGTTTCCCTCTGATGTGTAAAGTTTGTCATTGATCAATCATTCATGTATTGTTTGAACAAATTTGCTCTAGTGATTCTTAAATGTTTTGTTGCTCCTGTCTTTTCTACTCTCTGAATTTTCTTCCTCGATGTTTTGTGGCCTTCTTTTTGTTTGTCTCTGGTATTATTTCCTCGCTGATGGCAAATATGGATGGTATAATCTGAGACTATACAAGAGTAACAAGACATTTGAAAGATCTTGTTCCTAATAAATTTTGAATTGGAAGATTCAAAGTGACTCTTACGGTCCGTTTGGAATGACTTATGATTTACTTCTTGTAAATAAGCTTCTTGAATTGGCCAATTTTGTTAAAAAATTATCTAAACATGTTTAAAAGCAACTTCTTGTTAGCAATATCACATAGCGTGGCAACAAGAAAAGGATGCGGATCAAAAGATTTATAAGGAGACCCAGAAATCTTGGAGTGATGAGGTTGATATCCTCACAATAATCAAAAATCAATGGTGAAAGTTTCGAGGGATCAAGAAGATTCGGGGTCAATTAATGCAAATCAAAAGATAGTTCAACAAGATGAGAAGATCTTGTATGATAAAATCAGGTAAGTATTACAGTGATACAAAATGCAAAGTTGTTTGTTATTTGATAATTATCTTATCTTTGGATAAAAACTAGCCAAAAATAAATAAATAAATAAATAAATAAAATAGTGGGGAGTTGTCAATCTTGTTTTATTGTAAATAGGAATCAATATGTGGTAGGTGTTCATGCCCCATTATCATCATTCAATAAAGTTATAAACATTTTTTTTTATGAAAGCAATGAACACTTGGTACACCACAACTCTTCTCCTTCACTATCCTAAATGTTGGAAACTTGATTACATTCAAAATCACCTATCAAATTACCCTTATGGTGCGAACAAGACTGAGCTCTTGCAAAATGTCAAATCTGGAGTGGTCATCCATAATAATTCTTTTCCATCAAATACGTCAAACCAAATAAATAAATTAATTAAAATAAATGTCATCTCAAAATTAACAAATGAGTTCAAGAATAGGTTCATCATCTCATCAATAAAGACCTTGTTCGGTCAAATACATCACATCAATTTCAAACAACACTACAAAAAACTCATACCAAAATTAAAAAATAAGTTCATCGCCTGACGAGTTTCCAATCTCCTTTATAAGTGGATCATTGAAACATTGAAGAAACCATCGAACTCATTATTTGCTTAAACACAACTCTTGCAATATGAGCAGTACATAAAATGCATATGCACAAAACCATTTGTGGGAGTATGTTAGCAATATCTCACAGCTTGGCAACAAAAAAAAAAAGAAAGAAAAAAAGAAAAAAGGATGAGGATCAAAAGATTGATAAGGAGTCACAGAAATCTTCAAGGGATGAGTTTGATATGCTCACAAAAAAAAATAAAAATGGAGAGAATTTGAGTGATCAAGAAGATTTGGGGTCAATTAATGCAAACCAAAAGATAGTCCAACAAGATGAGAAGATCTTGCATGATAACATAAGTTAAGTATTACGATCGCACAAAATGCAAAGTTGTTATTTTGTTATTTGATAATTATCTTCTCTTTGGATAAAAATTATCAACAAAGATAGTGGATAGTTGTTAATCTCGTTTTATTATAAATAGGAATTAATGTGTGGTAGATGCTCATGAGTCATAATCATCATTCAATAAAGTTATAAACGATCTTTTATTCAGTTTGTGCTTCTTTTTCATATTTTCTTCTTTTCTTGAATTAGAAGCAACTTTTGACTTCATAAAAAGTCCCCAAAACATTTCATCTGATTTTGTTTAATTTAACCCTTCCATTATTTCTCCGATCCATTTACGGTAAGTTTCATTTTCATTTTCTTGTTTGTTATATAAAGTATATAAAAAAAAAGTGCGCTCAAGTAGTTGATAGTGCAATCTTCCACAAAAATACACAGTAGTGAATTAATGCTACAAGGACAAAAAAGGAAACACAGCAACGCAATGTAGACGTGACATTGAGTTTTCCCTACACATCACAACTCATTGACAAGTGAGTTTGCGAACATTCTTGGACATATTGATTGCTCATTTGAACATTTTTGGTTACGAATATACAAGTGGACACCGTTGACTGGAAAATTAAAGTTTTGACGTGGTAGTGGTAGTTGACATGCGAGGATTTAAATTTAGTGGGAAAATAAGTTAACTATGTTAAAAAAAATAAAATAAATAAATACCGTGATATCTAATAATATTAATGATGGCTGGTCGCTTAAAGTTAATTATCCTTCTTAAGTATTCTAGTAGCAAAACTCGTTAGATAAGCTCGGTTGAGTTGAAGTGAAGGGCCAAACTCATTCGCTAAGATCGTCGGGTATGGTGGTTGAACTCGCACTCCGAAGTGAACATGTGGCGGGTGACATCACGGATGGGTCATGTTCAAGTGGGGCCTTTAATCCGACGTAGAAAGTCGGAAGTAACAAATTTTATCATCTATTTATGAAAATTATATACGTTTTGTACTTTAGAAGTAAAAGTATATTTTAAAATTTTAACTTAGTTTGTTGCAGATCAGATCCCATGAACCATGAGATAGATAGACACGCACACAACCCCTTGTTGGAGAGAGAGTAAACAAAGGAATTTATTTGAGAAAACATGGTTTTCAAGAAAGCCAATTGATGAAATCTCAAAATATTAGCTGAGGCTGAGCTATGGGGGTACAATTATGGGAAATCATCTCTCGTGAAATTGACACGAGATTGTGAATCCCAAATGTGAGATGAGGTGAATGATGAGTTCACGAATTCACAAGATTACAAAAAATAAAAATAAAGTGATGGAAACGTACAATACTAATCACAGATCCATTGTATACCTGATTTTGTAACACACCCCCACCAACCTTTCCATTGTTAGAGGTGGAAAATGGGTTGAGCAGCTCGTGGGCTTGTCCGTCCCGATTCGATCCATGGGTGACTCATGTTCTAAATGATTTGAACCTATATCAAAACCGTTAACTCATTATTACTATTTGCTTTGAAATGATATGAACCCGTCTTACTCCTTATTAATTTTTTTGCATCCCTCGATATTTAAACTCAACACATTTATCTTATGAGAAATTTAAGTTAAATCATTGCACCATCTTGAATTCGGCGTTTTAGACTGTGTCTCATAAAGAGAATGTGTTGTTACTCAAATTTGGCCATTGGAATGTCTAATTCAAGGGCTAGTGGGTACAAAATGTTCCTGAAAAAATAGATAAAATCCAAGCAGTTAAAATAAAAAGTCGTAAAGTCAGAAAACTTAATTATAAATTTGTTGAAAAAAAAGACAGAATCTGACAATATTAAAGCAAGATATATGTAACACTTCAAATGGCAATTGAAAAGGACTGGAATTATTTTGACAATCCTTTCCTCACAATCATACTTCTATAATTTTTGGACTACCCCACGCTCTCCAGCCTATGTGAACATGCTCTGGTAAAAGTTGTCTCGAAAGATTCAAAGATTGTCATGTGATACATGGGATAATATTTGTTTTTTAGAATTGTACGCATAGTCCTCAACTTCTGACCTCTTAAATTTATTTATAGTTATTTTAATGTGATATGTAATAGTGTTATGATGGCTGCTTGCTTAAAGTTAATTATTTTATTTAAGTGTTCAATAAGCAGAACTCATTAAGTCCTTGTTTAAGCCCATTTTTTTATTAAAATAAATTCTTCAATAATGATTTGATATCATTCCAACATCAAATTTTTTAATATAATAATATTATATGCAAATTCATAACTTTTCCTTATTTTTTAGTTACACATTTTTCATTATACTACTATTTCAAAATGTATTTTTTTGAAGAAAATGGGGGCTCAAACAACCAATAAGCTCGGTTGAGTTGAAGTGAAGGGCCAAACTCATTCGCTAAGATCGTCAGGTATGGTGGTTGAACTCATACTCCAAGGTGAACATGTGACTGATGACATCACAAATGGGTCGTGTTCAAGTGAGGTCTTTAATCCGACGTAGAAAGTCGGATGTAACAAATTTTATTGCAGATCAGATCCTATGAACCTTGAGATAAATAGACACTCACACAGCCCCTGGTTAGAGAGACAGTAAACAAAGGAATTTATCTCAGAAAACATGATTTTCAGGGAGGCCAATTGGTGAAATATCAATTATGGGAAATCGTCATTGGAAAAATTGATACGAGATTGTGAATCCCAAGTGTGAGATGAGGTGAATGATGAATTCATGGATCCACAATATTACAAAAAAAATACAATGATAGGAATGTACAATGCTAATCACGAATCCACTATACACATGATCTTGTAACCCCATCCCCCATCAACCTCACGTTCCATCGTTAGAGATGGCAAATGGGTTGAGCAGTTGGTGGGCTCATCCATCCCAGTTGGATCCATGGGCGACTAATGCTCAAAATGATCTGAAACCATGTCCAAGCTGTTAACTCGTAAGCACTATCTGCTTTGAAATGACATGCGCCTGTCTTACTCATTGATTTTTTTGCATCCCTCTGCATTCAAACTCAAGACGTTAATCTTATGAGAAATTTAAGTTGAATTCTTATATCATCTTGAATTCGAAATTTTAGACTCTGATACATAAGAATGTGCTGTTACTCAAAATTGTCCATTGAAACGTAGAATTGAAGGAACGATGGCTACAAAATGTTTCTGAAAAATAGACAAAATCCAAGCAGTTAAAATAAAAAGTCTTAAAGTCAGATAATTATTATAAGTTTGTTGAGGGAAAAAAATGCAGAAATATATTTTAACACTTCAAATGGCAATTGAAAAAGACTGGAATTATTTTGACAATCATTTCCACACAATCATACTTCTATAATTTCTGGACAACCCCCACTCCCTCCAGCCTAGAATAGCTGCCAATGTGAATTGTATAATGTATGTCCTGTTATATTTTACTCAAGTAAAAGTAGTCTTGAAAGATCCAAAGATTGTCATATGAAACATGGGATAATAATAATTTTTTTTTTTTTTAAATTGTACGCATAGTCCTCAACTTCCTCTTTTGCACTTCTAGTTTCAATAAC